TTTTTTTTTGTTCTATAATTAATGTTTTCTAAGTATGACACGAATAAGAATAAAGACAAAAGGAAAAAACAGAAAATATTATACATTCATATTTTATTCTACTAGAATAAGAAGCTATATTTCTTATAAATATAAATCTCGTCAAAAAAAATGATAGCAATCATATATCATCATAAGTGTCGTAACTGAATATATATTTTACGGTTGAATACGTGTACTTCGCTCGTCCTCTCGCGATCGTCAAATGAAAAAATATACATTAATAAAAGGATTACTTATTTTAAATATAAAGACAGAAATCATATAACTTTAATTTTTTTTTCATCGATGACTTTACATCTTTTCTTTTCAAATCAATCATTGTCTAACATTTTGTTAAGTAACAAAAAAAAATGAAATTTCGTTTTTTACGTAATATCTATTTTAAATGTTACTTATCAATTTTGACTTTTATATATATATATTTTGTAAAAATCTATCGAATATGTTAATAAAAAATATACTTATTCTTAGTATTTTGAAATGATAAAAATACTATATTAGTCGCTTGAACTATTTAAGCGATAATTGTATTGCCTATAAGCTAAATAGAGTCATTTTATGATGTAATATTAGTTTATCTAGAAGTAAACTTGGGAGTTCGAATAACTGTCAAAGTTAGTCTAGTGTTATTTATAATGAATAGAGGATCTAGAAGAAAGAAATTCATAATTAGAATTGGCTTATTCTTGTTGAAATAATAAGAAAAGAATATTATTGTTTCGATAGACGACAGCAAACTCTTCTCTTTTTGATATTATCTTTATGAATAATTGCTTGAATTTACCAATAATAATTGCTACTACTTGTATATTATTATCTTTTTCATTGATAAGATCATTATATTAATATATTGTATTCAACACGAATTTAATCAATGTATTTTTTTTTTGAATACAGATCGTTATGATAATTTCCATTCTCTATCCTAAACAAGAAATGATCTGTCTACTGCCCTTATTTAAATAAATTATGTAAATCTATAGATTTGAATTAATTTTAAATAATAAACAAGATTTCATTTCGTAATTATAATTATCGACCATATATATATCAAAGTATGTACTTCAATTATAATTACTCAGACAAAATGTATTTAAGAATATTGATTCTCCTTTAGGAAAAGTCGGTGGTTTTGTCTCTTATTATAGAATAAATATTTTAACAACTCTTCATATATTATCTTACATGCTCAGAATTGTTCTTCAAGGCTAAATTATTTATTTATATTGTCAAATAAGTTTTTCGTCTAGATCAAACAAAATTGAATCAGACAATTGTTCTATTTTTTACTCTCGTAATTCAATTATTTATCTACATTTCTTCTGTCTATATTAGAAGACAAAAAATGACTAACTTCCGATGAAATTTGATTATTAGAACACATGAGATTTGATCATGTCAAACAAAATGCTTGACCAAACTCTTCACGTTCTTATTATTGTCATATAAAATTCAATTAAAATCATTCGTCAGATCGTATCACCATCTCCCTCTTTTTTCTTTTCCTTAATCATAATTATTCGTTAATATCATATAGTTTATTATAAAGAAACAGATTAGAAATATTATCATAAATATAAACAGAATAGTTGACTTTCTATTCGAAGAAAAACTATCGATATGAAAATAAACAGAAAATATGAGAATATTTTTCATTCATCTGGAGTATCAGCTGTTTTCAGTAATCGACGAGGACCACGTGATGATGGTGCTTTTGGTTTAGCAAATGATGATTTAGCTTTATTTGCTAAGATTTCAGGATGAAGTTCTTGCATGAGATATTCCATTGTCAGATCAGTTGGATCACATAATTCCAACTAAATCAAATAAATATTCAATACTAAAAAAACAAATGAATATTTCTTACTTTTTTATCGAAAATAATACCCATTCTTTTTTCAATATTGTCAATAACACTTTCTTTACAACTAGCATACATCATACGTTGTTTTACTTTTGATCCACTTCCTGGTACGGAGTATAGAAAAACTAAAAAATTAAAAATAATTCAAAAATTCTATTGTTTTTTCTCTAAATCTTACAAATAGAGTCAAATTGTTTTTGATTATAGTCATGTTTTAGTCTATATATATGATATCGTCCTTGTTGACTAGGTAAACATTTTTGAATATGTTCTGGTGTTGCATGAGATTCAGAATGAGACAAAAGTATACGTTCTTTTTCGTGATCTATTTCCTTCAAAAACAAAAATACTTTGATTAATTTTTGATATATATGTATATATATATTTACTAATTGTATATAATCAACATTATGTTTTTTAAATAGATGTAATGCTTCAATGACATTTTCATCTAATGGAAATGTAAGTCCTTGTAATGTTGGATGACGAGTATCAATACTAATATCGGCAGTAGCCTAGAAAACATATGTTTTTAATAGAATAGACATAGACGATATTTACATAAGAAAAATCAAACATATAAGAAATCTTGAAGCTAAACAGATTAGTTTGAAAATTCAATATTCGATAGTATGTAATTAGTATACTACTATTCATTACAAAAAATATATACGCAATATTACATACTACAAAACAAATACCTGAGATTACGAATGCTATGAGAATATTCTATGATGTTTGACTAAACTACATTGATCATGAAGGTGTTTATATTGTTAGTTGATAGAATAGGGGTTCTATTTAAACGATCAGTTGTTTTTCTTATAGCGTGATCAGGGCCTGGGTGTGAATGTGCCCGTGGGTGTGAGTGTCCATCTCTTATCCATCCACACCTATACCCGGACCCACACCCAGTTTGAATTTTTTACTGATAATTCACGATAAAACTACTAATCACTTTTACTGATCATTTAATTTGTACCCATAAAACAGGAGCATATGAGTCCAATGGCTGAACCTGAACGTCATATCTAGAAGAATATACACACGTATGCGTTGAATTTTTTCATCGGATTTGTTTGTCTTTTTCTATAATTGTTGGATCGAGCTTGTCAAGATATATCAAACCAATTTAGATGATTTCGTTATGGATAAGGATAACGGTATGAAGTATTTTTTGGAAACTTAAGATAAGTTTTTACTTTCTAAGCTTTTTCTAACGAACTAACTCAGAGACAGACTAGCCGATATGATATATTTACTTCTCGTTGATGAATTTCAAGCATTTCTTCTTCACGCATTGTCAATGGTGGAGGTGCTGCTTGTGTTCGTACATGTTGTTCAAATGAATGGCTTGTCATTTCGCTCTAATAAATCAATCTTTAATTTATTTCTCTTTTTTTATGGAAAAATATAATTTACTTTAGAAGATGCATGAAATTCTTGAGTGATATATGTTAAACCAAATTCTCGTTTAAGTGTCGCAACTGTTGATGCATATAACATTCGTTCACGTACCTAAATTTTTAATAGAATTAATCTATATAATCGATTTTATATTTATTTACTCGAGCTTCATCTGGTATATAAACAATTAATAACCAATTATGACCACTTATTTCACTTATTGTATCAAGACGAATAAAATAATAAGCTGGACGATTTTTTTGAACTAACGGTGGAATCATTTGATCAAAATCTTCGAAATAAAAAATAATCAAACTTAATTAAAATCTTTAATTTTTGTATACCTTCAGTAAATGTTCGTACAGCATTATGTTCTTCTTTTGCAACAAGTTTTTCTAAATAAACAAGAAATTAAATTTTTCCTTGATATAATAAAAATAAAAATAATCTAACCATTTTCAATGGCAACAACAACCAGTCGAATATGTCCATCTTTCATATCAGCAAATTTATCACGTAATGAATCACTTGCTTAAAAAGAATAAAGATCAATCATTGATAAATCGTAATTAATTAAATAATTATTTTTTAATACCTGTAATTCCTGATTGATGCGACATTTTTTCTTTAAATGTTATAGAGTAAAGTTGAATTGAATGAAAATGAATAATAATAATAAAAAAAGGACAAATCAACCAGTGATATTATTTTCAACAACGAGCACCATCTAGTCGAGTGTTTATATAAGAAAGGCTAATGTTCTGATTTTTATTCGTTAATCGAATCAACACACATAGAATTCATTCATTGTGGTTTAGAAAAAAATTGACAATTCAAAGTCATACTTTCAAGTACTTATGTTAGTATTATTATTTTCTGAATAATATAAAATTTACATAAAACAGTGACTAAAATATGTGATTATGTTTTATTTGCAAATACATCTGTTTCTTTTCTTGATTTTATTTAGAATACAACATTCTATACTTAGTTAAGATAAGTTGGTAACTATTTGCATTATTTTCCCCCACCACATGACGAATGTGTTTAAATTCAACACACGTCAGTTTCATGAGTATTTATTTTTTTGCACTCATTCTCCTCTTTCCATCCTATAAATATCTAGTACTTATTCATTTCGTGTTCTTATTCTTCTTGATAATATAATCCGGTTATCATCAATAATCGAGATTATATTCTTCTTAGAAAAAAATCTTATTGCTATTTTTCTTAAGTACATCAACAGTTCTTTTTTTTTTCTACTAGCTACATGGATTTATTTAAAAAATTCATCATACATCTCAATTTTCTTTTCTATTCATCTATAAGATATTCTTTGTACTCAGCATAAAATAGAAAAGGAACCACAGGTAAGTGCACGAAGAAAAGAAAAAAAAAATTACTTCCATCATGCAAACTAGACAAATAAAAATACCTAATCATTTAGCAATAAATCTGCTTGATGTCATATACTACTCATTTATTGTATTCATCAAAAAACCAATAGAATCTGTCTATTTTAGATTAATATTCATTTTACTCATTGAATAAGATGGCAATACCTGCTTTAAAATGTCCCTATTTGGCCAAATTAACTTTACAACAAGTACGAACATCAGCATCACATATTTTTAATACTGGTGCTGAATCATGTCCAATATTTGGTCAATTTGCACGAAGAATATCAACAACTGGTATTAATAATGTAACATCAATGAATATGACATCAACTCCTCTTACATTTGAAGAAATAAAGAATGCTCATGAGAAAATACTTGAACGAAAACAAATAAATAAGATAAAATTATCATCAACATTGAATCCATATGGTGAAAGTAAGAATATTTTGAATATTTTCTTCTAATATATACATTCATTTTAAGTTACTATATCATCGGAATGTAATGATATCTTATGTCCATTTTTAAAAATGACACCAATTGAACTTCGTCGCCTTAATCTCGATCAAGATATAATTGAAATGAATCAAACAAAAGGTTATTATTCATTTTAATCGATTAGTTCTAAAGATATTATTTTTTTTATAGAAAATATCATCCGTCCAGTAGTCAATAATACAAATATATTTGAATATAATCGTTTTTTCAATGAAAAAATTGAAGCAAAAAAACGTGATAATTCATATCGAATATTTAAACGTGTACAACGTAAAAGTGGTCTTTTTCCACAAGCTGAAGAGAAGAAAAATTTAGATGATGATATTGATTCACGTACAATTACTGTTTGGTGTAGTAACGATTATCTTGGTTTAGGTCAACATCCAAAATTAAAAAAAGCAGTCATGTAAGGATGATTAAACTATTAAAATATATAAAAGAAGATTTTTTATTCATTAGAAAAAATAGAAAAGATTTTCTCATGCATTAAACGGAAATAGATTTTTTCTAATATTTATTTTCTTTTTCTTTTATCAGTAATGCAGTTACGGCACATGGTTCAGGTTCCGGTGGGACTCGTAATATATCAGGTACAAGTCCATTACATGAAAAACTTGAAGAACAACTAGCACGTCTTCATCAAAAAGAATCAGCACTTCTATTTACATCATGCTATGTTGCTAATGATACAACATTGTATACATTAGCTAAAAGTTTACCAAATTGTTGTATTTTATCGGATAGTGGTAATCATGCATCAATGATTCAAGGTATACGAAATAGTCAAGTGCCGAAATATATATTTCGACATAATGATATCAAACATTTGGAAGAATTATTAATGAAAATACCACGTCATATACCAAAAATAGTTGCGTTTGAAACAGTTCATTCGATGGATGGTAGATATTTTTCTAGAATTTTATTTGCAAAAAAAAACATTTTTGTTTATTAGGTTCGATTTGTAATTTGGAAGCTATGCTTGATATTGCTCATGCATATGGTTCAATAACATTTATAGATGAAGTACATGCTGTTGGTTTATATGGTCATAATGGAGCAGGTATTGGTGAACGTGATCATCTTCTTCATAAAATGGATATTATCTCTGGCACACTTGGTTAGAAAAATATTCTTTGTTTAATAAAAATCATAAATTTTCTTGTATTTCTTAGGTAAGGCATTTGGTAGTATTGGTGGTTATATTGCTGGTACATCAAAACTAACAGATTTTATTCGAAGTTATGGTTCAGGTTTTATTTTTACAACATCAATGCCACCGACTGTTTTAGCTAGTGCTATAGCAGCTATTGAAGTGAGAAATTATTTGATATAAAAAAAAGATTTCGAAATATAATTTATTTATATAGATTTCAATGAGTGATGAAGGTCGTTCATTACGACGTAAACAACAAGAAAATGTTCGAGAATTACGATCAAAATTAATCGATGCAGGACTTCCCGTAATGATGTCACCAAGTCATATTATTCCAATTCATGTATGAAAATACTTTTAATCTTTGAATTTTCTATTTGTTAAATTTTTAGGTAGGTGATGCTGCACTTGCTACACTTTTATGCAATCATTTACTTGATCGGTATTCAATCTATATACAATCAATTAATTATCCAACTGTTGAACGAGGAACTGAACGTTTGAGAATTGCGGCAACACCATATCATACAAGTGAAATGATCGATCAATTAGTTGATGCATTGAAACAAGTATGGAAAGATGTTGGTCTTACTTTAAAGGATATTGATCAACAACAACAACAACAAACTGTAGCTATGCGACATCATGGTTAATAATTGATTATATTTTATGAACCTATTCTTAAATTTTAGTTTTCTTTTATTTAATTGATTTTAAGTTTGAAGAAAGAAAGAAACCCGAACATATTCATGTAAATGCCCGTAGAGATCGTTTAGAGTTTTTAATTTTTATTTCTTCCGTTTATTTTTTTCCATTATTACTATTTAACAATCCTATTACGAAGAAATTTCTTGTATCATATATAATACGTTTATATTGAACAAAATACATAAATTTAATTCTTATCCTCGAAATAGATTGTTTTTTATTTCTATAAAATTCATAACATACAAAAATAAAATAACAATATTTTTAATTGAAATGGTGTATTGTCTTACTTACAAATGTTCTTTTCTATTCTCGTATGTTAAGTTAAAAATTGATTGGAATAACTGTCGGTCGGAAGTAAGAGAAAAAAGAAAAGAAATATCTATGACTCATGTCTAAAAAACTACTTAATTTCTTTTTCTCCGTTTACAATAACTACTATCAGAACAGTAAAAATAATGAACGAGTAAATAAAGGCGTTGTCTGTACTTTCAATCTACTACTATATTGCTCATGTCAAATAATAATCATTCGTAAATACACAAAAAAAAATAAATAATTGTATTCAAGTATGGTTTCATCAACATGTAGCTTTTCTGTTATTATTGGATTATTATACTTATTATTTTTTTTCTTTCCTTTTATATATTCATCCTACTCATTTCGGCCCTGTACATATTTCTTTCGTACGGTTTTTATTACGCATAAGATTTTTCCAGATAAATTAAGTCAAACAAGTACAGTTTGAAATCAATACTTGAAGGATATATTTGTATTTTTTTTTCAAATATTTAATAACAATGAGTACAGATTTTAATGATACTAATGCAGAAATTACAGCTGGTAATCGTCCATCATCAATATCAAATGCAGAATGGAATCAACAAACTATTGTTGATGCACGAAATGTTCTTCAAACTCAATTATCAAATGAACCATCACAACAACTTCACGAACAACGATCAAATAAAAGTAAATGAAATATTTCTCTAGAATTAATTTTGACATATTACTATTTTAGTTAATAAACAACCTGTCTATCCTACTTACGTTCTTCATCCGGAAGCTATTCCATCTTTTAATGAAGTTCCTGCAGAATTAAAAAAACGTCGACATATACGTTTTAGTAATCCACTAGCAGATGATACATTTGAAATTGAAATGCCCTTAGAAATGGCTAGTTCAATACCAGATGAACTACAAAGTGCTGTACAAAATCGGTTTGAAAAAAAACAAAAAATTCTTATTTATTTTTTATATATATTATTTTTTTTTGAACAGAGCAGCTAAAGATGAACATACTGATCAACAATATCCAAATCTTATAGAAGGTGATGCTGATGATTTATTTCAACCCGTAATTATTCCAGAACGAACACATTTAAAAACCGATACTAGTGATTCATTTTCATATAAATCACAACAATCATTTTTATCAGGTGCATTAGGTGATGATAGAACAAGTTTACGTGAAACATTTCAAAGAATAAAAATAGCTGGAGGTGTTCAAGATATGTCTCATATTGAAGATTTAGATGATTCAGTTAGTCCACTTCTTCGTGCATTAGTTATACGTGAAAAGTATTTATTAATCTTAAAATTTTAGTTGATTTTGTTGTTGTTTTCTTTTAAAGATATATGAGTTTCAGTTTACAATCATATCCAACAACAGTTGCTAATTTTTTAACTAAAACATTAGAACATGAAGATCAATCACGTCGTGCATCTCGTAGTAACACACGTCTACATAATGGTTTGCATCTTTTTTTATTGTGTTATTTTGCTTTCTGCTTATCTATTCTATAAAATTATCTGCGTGTGTGTGCAGTGATACCTTCTTTTTGTATTTAGAATCCACTCTAAGAACTTCTACTTATCTAAGTGGTCACATACCACTACCAAAGCTTGATGAATGTATAATATCACATGAATTAACATCTGATAATACTAACCAAGAAAATTCTGGTACTTAAAACCTTTTTGTATTTTAATTTATGCATGATGTAATGTTGTTTGTGTACTTACGTAATTTATAAATTTAAAAAAATAGATTTCTATCTATTTATTTTTTTGTTTTGTTGATCAGATGATTTTCGTCCATTTCATCCTCCAGTTATAAAACGTGAAGATGCTTTTAATATTCCATTACTTCCAGCAATTGATATAAGTGTTCAACCAGAAAATGGTATATATCGTGCTTATATACTTAATGAAGACAAAGAATATATACCGGCTGATTATCCATTTATTGATCGTGATCAATTTATTGATGATTATACACTTTTATCAGCTATGATTACAGATGGACCATTAAAATCTTTTTGTTATCGACGTTTACAATATCTTAAAGCTAAATATGAATTACATGGTTTACTTAATGAAGTTAAAGAATGGTCAGCAATAAAATCAACACCACATAGAGATTTTTATAATGTACGAAAAGTTGATACACATATTCATGCAGCATCATCTATGAATCAAAAACATTTATTACGTTTTATGAAGAAAAAAATGAAAACATCTGGTGATATGAATGTTTATAAAACGAAAGATGGAAGAATCATGACATTAAAAGAAGTTTTTGATGAATTACAAATAACTGCCTATGAATTAAGTGTTGATATGCTTAGTGTTCATGCTGTAAGTAATATTTTCCATTGAAACATATCCGGAGAAAAATAAATTTCAATTTATTCCTTTTACTCAAAATAATTGATAAACAGAAAGAGATGATATTGTCAAAAAATCCGGAAAAATTCTACTCAAAGTTTATTAATTATAGAAGACACAACACGTAAAAGGTGTGGACCTATTAGACAGAATCTGATAAGCTTATTTCTTCAAAGCCATCAGTAGTGAGAGTCCACCGAGAAGCTCGGCATGATCGATGGCGTTGTTGTAGTAGCGGGTGTTCAGGGTGTGGATGTATATGTATGGACTACTCTTCTTCTACACAAACACCCACACCACAAAACCTTTCGAGGTAGTTTATTTATTTTTCGGATTACTTGACATATTCAAAAAGATTATACATATAAAGCAAGAGAGTTGGTCTTGATACATAACGATAGTAGTTTATTGTATCACCATTAACTTATGACAAAATTCGTTTAGGATCGAAATACATTTCAACGTTTTGATCGTTTTAATGCGAAATATAATCCACTTGGTCAAAGTGCTTTACGGTAAAATAATTCATAATATCTTCATATATTCTAATTTAAAATTTTAGAGAAATTTTTCTTAAAACTGATAATTATATTGATGGAGTCTTTTTT